CATTCCCATTCATTTTATAGTTTTCTAGTTTGTAGAAAGTGTTCTTACTCATGTCTGAATTTCGGTCTCGGTGGTTAGTCTCTACGGAGACTGGCCATCTGCTCAGGACAAAATTATAGTGCACGAGTATGTGCGCAAGCACTGATGCACTCTTTATGCTCTCACTTTCATTGTCTAATGCATGGCAACCTGACACAACCGGAGAGAGATCAGGCGTAGGGCAGACCAATAGCTTTACGTGATTTTCGAGGCACTACTGAGAATTTCTTGACAGAAGAAAAGAATAATTGATTTTGGCTTGACCTGAGATTCGAATTTGTGTCATAATCAACAGTCGCGTTAACGACTACTGGACTGGACCATGGAGACAGTCTTAAATTAATATTATCAAAATATGTTATTTTAAATACATAAACTTTAACTAAATCGGCAAGTATTATACTCGTATATCGGTCCTCCATTGGATGGAATGACGGCATAGAAAGAGGTGCAGGACGCAGTGAATACAGGCACTACCATGGTTTGGGGGTAGTACTTGGGAAAAAAAATTAGAAAAAAAAAAAAAAAAGAAATAAAAAAAAATTTTCAACCTTCATTTATTCTAGAATTATCTTCCTGTAACGCGTTTTTAAGATCTCACAAACCAGCGAGGGAAGGATTTTGTTTCTTAATTTGTCTTTCTAGCTTATCCCATAAATACTCTATGGGGTTAAGTCGGGCGAGCGCGCTGGCCACCCCCATATCTTTGATTCCAACGTCTCGATTTTCTATATGATAATAATAATTGCGTATTCGACAACTTGAGCTTCGAGCTTGAGCCGTGGTAGCTCAGTGGTTAACGCTCGCTGTAAATATAACAGAACACGAGTAACCCGGGTTCGATCGCCGCCGGCACCAATGAAATTGTTAATTGCAATTTTAAGTGCTGATTTACCACGTGCTCGGCGGTGAAGGAAAACATCGTGAGGAAACCTGCATGTCTGAGGAATAAGAAAAAATAATTTCGAAGACATGTGAAGTTCGTCAACACGCATTTGGGCAGCGCGGCGGACACTTCCTTGCCCTAAACCCTCTCAGAAATGAGGGGAGGCCTGAGCCCAGCAGTGGGACGTATATAGGCTGTAACTTTACTAACTTTTATTCGACAACTTTGGCCACAGTATGGAGGCTTGCATTATCATGAATAAAAACGAATTTATGTTCAATAAAAGGGCAAATAAGTGGCTCAGTTAGGTACCTAAATATCGCGCCGCTGTTAATGACCCATTCTCAATAACGCGGAGTTCCTTATCCGTACGTGCCCTCATACAAATTCCTCCCCATACCATAACTGACCATCCACCATATTATGCCTCTTTTCCAATGATGTTGCACTAAGTATACTTCTTCAGGGCGTCTCCACGCTTTAATCCTTCCATCATCTGGCTTCTGACAAAATATGGACTCTCTCTCTCTCTCTCTCTCTCTCTCTGTCTATCTGTAAATAGGACTTGACCCCAAGCTTCGTCATTCCAACTATCGTGGTTGCGAACAAACTCGAGCTACTCGATAGCATATTCCAAAAAGGGGACATCTGGCTGCCAAGTGTGAATTTATTCCGACAGATTTCAGTCATTTTCCCCCAGGCTTTGAGCTTAACGTGGTTACGTTCGGTTAGGCTTAAGCTTCGTTTTTACCTCGGAAGAAGTTAAGGTCCGGTTTTTAAGTACACTGGTAGCAATGAGCTGGTCATCTCTGGCCACAGTTTTCCGTTTAAGTCCCTGTCCTGCGAATGTCGTATACTGTCCGGTCTGGCGATACCTCTTGACAACTCGATTTTAATAATTGTAATGTTTGGGGCCCAGTTCGGAGTGTGCTCAGTCCCAGTTTCGATTAAAGTAACTGCCCTAGCAACTTTAGTAGCGTTTAGATCCGGCAATATGAGTTTATTTGCAGTTACAATTCACATTTTACACGATAATTGACCGAAAAATTTATATTACAAGGCGGGCAACGCAAGATTTAAACAAAACCTAAAAATGTAAAAGTTAGCAAAATTTTTCGCAGTATGAAATTACGCAATAAATATATACATAAAAACAAATTAAATTTATTTATTTATTTATTTAAGTACACCAACGATTGTTACAACAATGCAGAAATAGTAAACACACATCACTTATATACTAATTGTACAATCAATTAAAGGTATACACCACATGCTTCAAGATACTAAAAAGTTACCAAGTAAAAAACAAAAAAAAATACAAAAACTTAGAATAGAACAAAATAAAATAAATTAATATTATATTAAAAATAATTAATAATATTAAAAATAAAATAAATTTAAAAAAAAAACATTTCAAAACTTTCTTGTTTTCTTTTTAATAGCATTTAATGTTTAATAGCATTTAATATAATGTTTGTGGCCAATACGCAGGATAATTTTAATTTTTTAAACAAGGAGAAATTAAACTTTTTTATTTGCGTTCCTCTATATTTGTCCATGAGTATATATTGTGTGTAAATACCAATTAAGTACTTGTCTACTTTAGTTTATTTCATCGCGGCTGCGACGGCTGTCTCGTCTTAATAATTTTATAAACCTATAAAATTACAAGAATTGCAAATCGGTATAAAAACACTATTTATACACTAGCTTCCGTATTGTTAGTATATACCTAAAACTCATAAAATACGTTAAAATTAAAAATTTTACAAATTCAATACTAAAAATAAACTTGGAGGCGCCGGGTATCGATCCCGGTACCTCTCGCATGCTAAGCGAGCGCTCTACCATCTGAGCTACGCCCCCGATACTACGTGTGTTAAAATTAGTTGGTTGTGTTCTAGCACGCATTACAAGATCACGTTTACTTTTACTAGACTACATTATGATCTAAATATCATGTACTTACTTACTTAATACAAAGATTATACACGTTCACTTACCTGTTACATTAGGTATTTTTGTTAACGTTTTTAAGAAAAAGAAAAAAAATATAATGAATGAATGTAAGTGAGGTCAGCTAATTCAAGGATCGGTTTCTTTACTCATGTGCTCAACCGTTCACATTCATCTCAGGTTCCATGTTCGAGTAGCACGTAAACGATAAATTAATGTGCGTTGGCGAAAAAGCAACAAAAGGAAACAAAAGCAAAAAAAAAAAAAAAAAAAAAAAATTGGAGGTGTTTAGACCCCAAATGGTGTATAACTTAGCAATATTGCGACAGAATAAATAACAATATTTTTTATTCAATATAGATTACATCATGTATGTAATTCTTATTGAAAGTAATTTTTTACTTTACCACTAGTTCGGAAAAATAGGTAGCTCTATCCTTTGAAGAACCAGCAACATACCCAGCCGGACTTTGACATTTATGAAAGGTTGTACAATTTACAAAATTTAGTTTAGAATACAGCTTAGAAGCGAGCAACACAGAAGAAGGAGGAGATGGGCAGCAGCATTATCTTCTAAATAACATCTTAAATTTAAAAAAAAACTGCGGTCGCCAACACGTCTGTCAAGCGTAGCAACAATGGCAATTATTTACCCTTCGCGTAGTGTATATATTCTTTGCCTAAAGGCAAATGGAGAAGGCGTTTCTTCACTAGTGGACTTTTAATAGGTTGTAACGGTAAATAAACTGAATATATTTTTTATTTTTAACAATTCTTTAGAAACCCATCTTTTATAAAAATGAGAAAAGACTGTGTTACGCAAAAACTGACATTACTTTGTACCCTATTCTGCATAAACGATTTCTATAGTCGTAATCGTGAGATCACAGTAATCTTGAGATAGTAGAAATGAAGAAACACTTAAGTCCACCCACGAATGCTGGAAAGGAATACGTACTAGAAACATTGGTAATTCGACTAAATTAATTTCAAATTCAATGTATTTTTTTCTACCTTCGTAAATTTATAATAGGTATTGAGCTAAGATTATATACGACAATAGTCTGTTAATATATTTTTTAACCATTTTACACATTTACTTGGGAAACCTATGTAGTTATTTATCTACCTTTAAGAGAAAAGTGAAAGTAAAGTTTGAAATTACGCTAGCATTCATGTTCGACACCTGTTAATTAAATTATTTTACGTAGCTTTGCGTAGCTCAGATAGTAGAGCGCTCGCTTAGCATGCGAGAGATGCCAGAATCAATACCCGGCGCCATGGAGGTTAATAGCCCGGCGCTTCCAATAAATTGACAATTTTTTAAAATTTTGGCTATCCGAAATTCACAATGATAGATATTATTCTTAAACTCTTGCATTTTTAAAAGAAATTAATAGAAAACATTTCATAGATAAAAAAATGACTTCCTCAATTGAATTTTATTTGCTGTACGATAAAATATGCTTTTGCCTCTCAAGATTGACATTATTATAAGTGTAACAACGATAATTGGAGGGAAGTGGCGGGAAGCCAAGCTCTTAATAACTTCGACTTATTGAAGATGAAGAACACCTCGAGCTCGATATTATTGTAATATTTATCGGCTTTTCGTTCATATAAAAAATAAAAATAAAAATATTTTGAACATGCCACGAAAATCAATTCACCCCAAAGTCAAAGAAGAGACGACACAGGTATTTTAAATTAGTATTTATTTAAATAACAATAAGAATTTTTCTTATTAAGTTATTACCCTCAGAATTGTTTCTTTTTATCTGCCTATCAACTTATTGGTTATTTGTGTAAAATTTCTTGATTGTTTTGATTAGATTGAATGTAAGACACATATCAGATATTCTACTAAAAATCACAATTGACCGTGGTCAAATAAAATTTGCTATGTGCATGTGTGTCACATAGCAGGTGTTAATTGACAATATTCTACTTTTAATGATGTGCAGTGAGTATAAATTTTTCTTTTTTGTATTTGCAATTTCATCTTAACGCCAAAGGTTCCTTCTTAAAAAAAATTACCATTTTCAACAATCGTTTCTAGTTGTTAATCAAGTTAAAAAAGCCGCAAAGCTATAATCGGTGTTTTCTTTTGTTTTAGATGAAATGTATAAAAGCGAGACTTATGGAAATTATTTTGAAAGTAGACAATTACATTTACAGAGAAAAGCCTATATCAAAAAGGCAAGCGAAAACTTATTTAAATGAAATATCCTCCTTTATCACTCAATGCAATAATGATATTGGTTATCTTCAGGTTTGTCTATCTTATTCATATAAAACAAACATTAGGAAATAGTCTAGGCTTTACTAAAAAATATCGAAATATCTATATTTTATAACAAAATTATCGATATTTATCGTCAATTATTTTTTGCGATATAACGATATTTATTTTAGAGTATCGAATTCATTTCAATTTCGATATATTCAATTTATAATTTAAAGTAAGAAAATGTTTTTGCCCTCATCCTACTACATAATGCAAAACATGATGATATATCGATATTTCCTCACAAAATTATCGATATTTATAGCCGATATTTTTAATCACGATATTAAGCCTGCAAAAGGATTCATGTGGTCTTGTTTTTTTTTTCGTCGTACAAACGTCCACTAAAAAGATCCTACTACATCATACAAAATATGACGATATATCGATATTTATCGCACGATAATTATCGATACTGTTTAAAAATATCGATACGATACATATAGATATATTTTTTCACTTGAATATCATCTCTAGAATAATCACCAGGGTATGAATTTAACACAGGTAATTACCATTTTTTTTAAATCTATTATAGTGGCAAACAAACTTTAGGCAGGTTGTGATGGTAAGTGGCTACTATACAGCCAACTTCAAACGAAGGGTTACAGTTGCGTTATCATCTTTGAGGACTACGATGAAATGCCTCATCGGCTGTAATTATATTGACTCTGTTCCCTTCACACCGGAACATAGCATAGGACTATATGTCGGCATAAATAGGTACCCATTCTAATGGACGCCTAGGAAGAAAAGGGTTGTATGCCCCTTTCGGATAAAAGTAATATTATTTTTTATTAACATTAGTACATAGCGCAAGCTTGGTGATATGATCCCGTATGCCTAGCGTGGTAGGTAGGGTAAGAATTCAAGATGTATTCTTGGAAAGGCGTACAAACAGCATTGAAGTCAAAAAGGCTGTTGAGCGCGCGGAGTGAACAGCATATAAGTAAATTGCTTTTGACAACAGCAATTTGGCTATTTTTGTTGTTGCAACGTTGTTAAACACAGTTTAATGCATCTTTGCCATCATAAGATGGAAAGGCTGCAGTTTTTTTCTAGTATTTGCCGTAATTGCTGTATTATTTTTATTTTTATACGTGGTAGAGCCATGCTGCAGTTATATTATGGTTGTAGCACGAATGGGTCGGCTCGAGCGGGGAACCACGCTCTCACAGAGTACCAGCGTAAAATAGTAGCTTTATGCTGCTATGTTTCGTATAGTGAGTGTAGAGAACCGGAGACCCTTTTTTACTGGAAACGATTCATTCCATCTTCTACCAGGGGTGACAACGCATCCGCGTTTTAATTCTTAATCGTGGATAAATGTAGATAGATGTCTATGGGCCGCAGCATCCTTATACCATCAGGTGGACTGTGTGCTCGTTTGTCACCCTTATTCTATAAAAAAAAATTTACTTGATGATAGCTATTTTCGAGATGTAAGTCATCGGCTTACAGCTTCATCTGACTCAGGGCTCTGATGATAGACGCTCCACACGTTTGTACAATTGTAGTTGTTAGAACCTAATTAGCTTTTTTTCGCGTAATGAAATAAAATGATGTGTCCTGCCAATTTTGAAGAGCAGTCCCCTCTCAATTGCACGCACTGTCCCCATCACCAATTCCAGCAGTAGGTGCTTTTCATCAATTTTATTTTATTACGCGGAAGTTCGAACAGCTTTAATATAATGAATTTCCGCAAAGTAACTCCTGATTCAAATTAGTTTTGATCCACGTAGATGACAGTCTGCGGGAGTGATGCTTGGCGGCTGTAATATCGGAAAAAACAGGCAACACGCTGATTTTAGTCGTCTATATATTTTGCTACATATATGTACGATGTAAGAATATCTACAACCCCATATCGTCCCGTGGGTGTCGTAAGAGACGGCAGAGGGAAACAAAGCGGGAGATGGGTAGCAGCGTCTTCCAAAAAATAAAATACTATGGTTGCTAACCCGCCTGTCAGTTGTGACAAATATCCATAGAATACTATAATGCACTATAGAATGGCTGTCAACTTTGCACGAGGTTTGGCGTCGCCAAACCCGATTCGCTGTGTTGACAGACTGAATAAATTTAAACATTTTAGACTTTTGATTAGTGTTCAAGTTCAAGACCATCATTAAAAAAAATCGTTTAAATTTTAATACATATTTATTTGTAAATATGGTGCAATTTGGCATTTTTTAAATAATTTGCATGCGAAATTTGGAAACGATTGTAACGTCAAAACACATCTGGGTTGCATTTATACGTGTGAATTGACGTATTAGTGACATTTTAGTGACTACGCGGGCTCCGCCCACTCACCCGTTCTATTATATATGTATTATAGTATTCTATGCAAATATCCACCTATGAATTAATCTATGGGGAGGACGAGGACAGTGTCAGCAGTGGTCTTTTGAATGCTGTAACGATAACACATTTGGTTTAAACCCTTCTGATTTTTAACCGACTTCAAAAAGGAGGAGGTATTCAATTCAACTGTATGTTTTTTTTTCAGTAGTTTTTGAGTTATCCTGAAATAAAGCCAATTTAATTGACTTCGATAACATTGATTCGGTCGTATTGAAGTCGGTCACAAAATTTTTAATTTTACCACTTGTTTCTATATAAGCTAATGATACAAATATGACAAAAATGAGCGATAATAATTCTTATGAATCCGGGTTACTTTCGTTTTTAAAAAAGAATACTGATAAAAAGTATTTTTACCACATTTTTATATTAAGTAACTTTTTTTTGTCTGTCATTCCGGATGGAATTTAGTAATTGTTTTTAAACTAACTTCCCGATAAGCTGGAAAGTTGAAATTTTGAATTTAACTCAAAATCGGATGACAATGCAAGAATATGATTAAAAAGTAATAGTTTTTTTTAAAGTAATACTTTTTTTAATAAAAAATAACTTGTTACTTATGTATATTATATATAAGAGTGTGGTTCGCAAGATGATGTTGTGACCAGGATTAAGAAAGGAATGCTTCGGTGGTTTGGTCATGTGGAAAGAATGAATGAGGAAAGAGTGACAAAGAAAATTTATGGTGCAGACGTGAATGGCAGAGTCGGAAAGGGACGTCCTAGGCGAAAATTTATCGACCAAATTGGCGATTTATTGAAAACGGGCCAAATTAGGAGTACCCTTAACCGACGAGCATGTATGCGTAGGTGTATGGATGTGAAGGAGGCAAGAGGTGTGTCAGGATCGTGCCAAATGGAAGTCTGTAGTCTCTGCCTACCCCTCTGGGTGACAGGCGTGAGTGTTTATGTATTTATGTTGTTACTTATTGTTTATACTGTTAAAGGTAATTGAGAAATTGACAAAATATATGAACATCATAATCTCGAGCGCAACAAGCAAGGCTAAGGTTATTAAAACAACAAACCAAGACAAAACAGCAGCATTAGCAACAAACACTCATGGCAGTTCCTTGTCTCCTGTGAGTTTCACACCTGTAAATGACAGGATTCAAAATCAACATAATATTGAAGAAATATCAGAGAGCAATGGTAATTTTGATTTAAATAATAACAACACAAATTGTCACGAAGATGAACAAAACGCAAGAAACAAAACTGCAGAGATAGAAAAACTTAGTCCAGAGGTCTCGACTATCGATAACTTAATCACTAATAATTCGGATCACTTACAAGTTTCACAGAACATTCTAGAGAATTTTCGTGCTAAAAGTATTGATAATGCCGATATCTTTGAAACAAACAGAGTTTTTTCACAACAAGGGGTGTGCCAAAACGTAAATGCAAGTGCGGTATCGGACTATATAAATAAAAAGATTGGAAATAAAAATCAAAATATCGCCAGTTTTGACTCGGAATCAAAATCAAAAGTGACTCAGAATGTCGCTAATTACAATAATAGACAAGTTACAAACGAAGAAATATTAGAAACAGATGCATTGAGCAAAGAAAAAGTTTCCAACGAAAAATCAGCTTTAAATGCAGTTACACTTAACACTAGCTACTCTAAAATTAAAATTAATGAACATGAACAATTAGATGAAAGAACAAAAACGGTTAATAACACGCAGCTTTCGCAAATAAATGATGAGATTAACGTTAATGTACTGACTGATGATGTAGATAAAAAGAAAGTAACATTTAATATACCGACACAAAACGAAACATTACCGATAAATATGCATAAAGGCGAAAAAGGAAACGGAAATATTTCCATATCTAGAACGAACAAGATAAAAAAACGTATTAAAAACAGTAATCAAAACCCTCAAAAGAAAACGCGATCAACAATAAAACGACAAAAAAAGGATACATCCAATTGTAAGGCTGAAAAAAACACCAAAAGAAACACAAATAAAAGAAAAACGATCAAAGCTTGTGAAGATAAAACTGCTGAAAATTCTAACAAAATATCATCAAACACAAGCAGTAGTTTGTGTGTAGTAAACACAATTAATGGAAAAATCGAAGATGATTTGTCTTGGTTAGATCAAATTAAATACGTACGGGTGGTAGACGCACGAGAATATTGTACATTTGTACAAGGTTTGGACGACAAATTCTGGGAAAATGAAACTGTACCTAAATGCGACGATGAAGAATTTAACGTCTAAATTACAAAATAAAAACATTATATATATGACCCAAAAAGTTTAATTGAAGTCAAAAAATGGTAACACATAAAGCCTATAACAGTAAATATTAAACATTTAACTCCGATCAAAATTTAATTTATTAAAGATACATTATGTTGAAAATAATAATAAATAACTCTTCTTTACCAAATAGTAATGATTATAATTAGGTCCCCATTTATGAAAAGTAGGCCCCATAAACTTATGAATAATTAAATACAGTGGAAAATTTACTAGAGATTTCCTTAACAAAAGACATCATTTTATATAATAAATGCTACATTTTTTAAGAATTATTAGTATCATACATTCATTATTTTTTTCCTTTGCATAATTTTAATCACAATTATTAACCGTAAAGTTATTAAAGCAAAACGCAAGTTAGGTGTGTGTAGCCTTTTCGCGCAATGAACAAAGATGAATTAGTATAGATTAAAGATAGATTATTGATAAAATAGTTTACATAATTTTCTTCAGCACTTTTACAGAACATGTACTTCGTTTTTGCCACATTAATCTTTAGACACCTGGCCTTCTTCATGTGTTCACCTATTTCTCAATTTATCTTTGTCCATTTCTACCAGCACAATATTACGGCGATTTAAATTACCCGGGTCAGTCTTTACTACTAAATGGAAAATAATCGGTTTCAGGTACATTTTAATCTTGTGACAACCACATCACACGACAAAACAATCGAGTGCCTTTAGTAGATTCAAAGACATATGTCTACTATTAGTACTAATACACTTAGCTACGGTCAATTCTCCCTAACTTTTTAGTATACTGCGAGCGGGCGAGAAGACTAGTTTTTTTTTTAAAACCGTGAACGTTGTCTTCAACACTCTAACAGTGATTTTGCAAGAAAACGCAATTCTGTAAAGAATTTGGTAAAATACATTGTATAATATTACTACAGTAAATTTCGGTTGCCTTAAAAGCTTAAAACCTTTAATGCAGTACTTCAAGTTGTTTTCATAAGCCCACTTTGTTTAATTCTGTTTAAGTTGTATCTGTATGTTTTAGTTGGCAACTCTATGACGTCTATATGTTAACACAGTAACATCAAATATTTTTGTTAATTACCTAACTACATTTGCATATTATTACGTGAATATCTTTCTTAGTTCCCCAATCCACACTAGAGTAGCTTGTTCATAGAATGACTGACCTTTTGGTATTCCAAAACCCTCTTCAAAAAGGCGTGACTTTACCCAGCGTCATTTAGTCTTATATATTGTCAATTAACTTTTTTTACTTTATGTATATATTTTATTAATTAGTGAATTTAATTGTAATATAGCTAAACAAAAATAATAGCCCACTACTATTTTTTGATAATAATATATCAACCATTGATTCCGATGCTGCACTTGACACTTTTGCACCATTTAATACAACCTTTCCATTAAAATGAAAATAATTTAATGTCATTTCTTACCATACATTATTTGTTATACTAATTTCTTACCATATAATATATTACCATACATATATTATATTCTTGTTAAATTATTATTGTTATGAAATTTGTTTACACTGAGCCATAGACTTCTGTGTTAATAAAATCTTTAGTTTTGGGTACAGAACATAAATAACTTAATATATATACATATAAGCACACTCTCGCTTTCTTAAAACTAATACTATATATTTTTTTACAAACAATTGTGAAAAGTTTACGACTCCTATCTAATTATCAGTTTTTATTTTTAACCACTATTGCATAATATGCTTTTAATACTGTGAAAACGAGCAATCACCTCGATAAATATTATATCGTTTGCCAATTTGCACACTTGCAAGTCTCTTAGCTACTGATATATAGTTAAAATTGAGATTTAAAAATATATATTTGGTGCATTTGAGATTTACAAACGAAATTGTAATATGACTTAAAAAAACCAAAGAACTCTTTAGTTTTTGGCCGGTTCATAACTCAGGTCCTGTTTTGCAAATCGATATAAATTTTATCTTTCATAAGAGGTTTAAACAATCCTAAATGGAATAAAAGTTTTGACTTTGTCTTTATGTTCGATTATTCAATGAAAATCTTATTAATTCACAAGGCCCCGCTACGAGATAAATAATGTGAGCAAACTTCCAGGGGTGCAAAACATTTGTCGATTTTTCTCGGATTTTTATTAATAATCAAATCAGTGACTTCAAAACTAACACTAACTATATTAAGTGTCTTTACGCAAGACGGTAAAACTCTGCGTGTTTAAATTCTCTTTCTCATCTCTCTACCAATATACTATAAAGCATATGCTCATTTCGGAGACAAAAGAATATTTCGTTGTTTTTAACAGAATATCGTAATACTATATGATAAAAATATTTCGATAATATATAACATATTCGCAAATATTATTATCATAATACTAATAACTAATGTTTTTAAATTACATGACTCAATATTATGTTATTAATATTATAACATCATAATTACCATTCATCACTCATAGTCCTGGAGGTAATTGCCTCAAAACTGGGCATTTGCCATAGCTGCCACAATTGGAAATTATGGCAAATATCTCCCTTATGAATATTTAACCCGTGTAGTGCCGGTGTAAGAATTTCCACTACACCATATCGTCCTGTGCTAGACGTAAGAGGCACTAGAGGGCTACAAACCAAGAGATGGGCAGAAGCGTTTTCCTAATAACTGGAGAAAAAAATATGTTGAACATACTAAAGTATACGATATATGTAAACGAAATAATTATTTTTATACAAATTAACCAACATTAAATATAACTATACATTATGTTCTTGAATAAATTATGTACAACACTACTAGTGTTTCTAAACAAAGGTCACCTAAAAACTAAAGTTCTTTCCATACTTATTTAAAATTGGATCATATTCATAATTTTTAATAAATGCTTGCGTCCTTTATCCATATGTAATCTAACAATTCAACAATAGTTAAGTATACATTTGCAACTTAAGTTGTATGGTGATGGTAGTTAATTTCGACCACATCCACATTGTGATATCTTCCAAACTATTTAAGAATAATAAATGTTGGAAAATCCACTTGCACCTCAACCACTTACATTAACAAAAAAACTGCTCGTGCTTAGTATGTTTTTCTTTGTTATTTGTGGTTTATGTTACTGGGTAGTGTAAACAATAGTGAGCCGAAAAAGGATACAATTTCGAAAAGTCAATCTCGCTAAATAAGTTTTGCATTCTAACGCATTGAATTAATAATAAAATTGTACATTTAATAATAATTATTATAATTATGTTTAATATATAGAACTTCTTTGCTAACCCTACTTCACTCTAGAACTGTCATTTCATCTATACTTCGACAAGGTGTCATTCAGATTGCGCGGGGATTATACGTCTTATCCGTTCTAATCCAAATGACCTTGATGTGTAAGCGCCGAATTCTGGCTGGGATTTCAAACAGATTGCGCGGCGATTATACGTCTTATCCGTTCTAATCCAAATGACCTTAATGTGTAAGCGCCGAATTCTAGCTGGGATTTCAAACAGATTGCGCGGGGATTATACGTCTTATCCGTTCTAATCCAAATGACCTTGATGTGTAAGCGCCGAATTCTGGCTGGGATTTCAAACAGATTGCGCGGGGATTAGACGTCTTATCCGTTCTAATCCAAATGAACTTAATGTGTAAGCGCCGAATTCTGGCTGGGATTTCAAACAGATTGCGCGGGGATTATACGTCTTATCCGTTCTAATCCAAATGACCTTGATGTGTAAGCGCCGAATTTTGGATGGGATTTCAAACAGATTGCGCGGGGATTAGACGTCTTATCCGTTCTAATCCAAATGACCTTGATGTGTAAGCGCCGAATTCTGGCTGGGATTTCAAACAGATTGCGCGGGGATTAGACGTCTTATCCGTTCTAATCCAAATGAACTTAATGTGTAAGCGCCGAATTCTGGCTGGGATTTCAAACAGATTGCGCGGGGATTAGACGTCTTATCCGTTCTAATCCAAATGACCTTAATGTGTAAGCGCCGAATTTTGGATGGGATTTCAAACAGATTGCGCGGGGATTATACGTCTTATCCGTTCTAATCCAAATGACCTTGATGTGTAAGCGCCGAATTCTACTGGGATTTCAAACAGATTGCGGGGATTATACGTCTTATCCGTTCTAATCCAAATGACCTTGATGTGTAAGCGCCGAATTCTGGCTGGGATTTCAAACAGATTGCGCGAAGTTCGTTTCGTTCTAATCCAAATGACCTAATTGTAAGCGCCGAATTTTGGATGGGATTTCAAACAGATTGCGCGGGGATTATACGTCTTATCCGTTCTAATCCAAATGACCTTGATGTGTAAGCGCCGAATTCTGGCTGGGATTTCAAACAGATTGCGCGGGGATTATACGTCTTATCGGTTCTAATCCAAATGACCTTGATGTGTAAGCGCCGAATTCTGGCTGGGATTTCAAACAGATTGCGCGGGGATTAGACGTCTTATCCGTTCTAATCCAAATGAACTTGATGTGTAAGCGCCGAATTCTGGCTGGGATTTCAAACAGATTGCGCGGGGATTATACGTCTTATCCGTTCTAATCCAAATGACCTTGATGTGTAAGCGCCGAATTCTGGCTGGGATTTCAAACAGATTGCGCGGGGATTATACGTCTTATCCGTTCTAATCCAAATGAACTTGATGTGTAAGCGCCGAATTCTGGCTGGGATTTCAAACAGATTGCGCGGGGATTATACGTCTTATCCGTTCTAATCCAAATGACCTTGATGTGTAAGCGCCGAATTCTGGCTGGGATTTCAAAACTTTTATGAGATGGGATACTCGATAGCCATACTGACCACACGGCTAGCTATCTTAATACGTTTATTTAAGGAAAATATCCCATATATATCCAACGTTTTAAATACTGCGTACATTTATTTTTTATCGAAAACAATAATCATAACATGATTTACATATTTAACAAAAATAGTAATAAGAATTACAACAATTATATAGCATTTTATGTGCAAGTTCCGGAAATGTCTATATTTGCACTCTCATAATTGATATATAATAATATATAAATCGAAACATGATATTGCACCATTTAAAGACGAACTAGCGAAAACTCTCATAAATTTTATAAACGCCATTAAGCGATGTTTAAGTTTATTCTAATAATTAAAAACTAAATTTCCCTCGTACTTTGAAGAACCCCAGGCTAATCTTGTTGTGGAGCAGCGAAGTAACCCCTACGTAGCTTTGTATGACAATGGGGGAGTGATGTATACAGCAAGCTGATGACGGCATCGTCTCTATGGCCCTTTGGAGCTTTTGAGCAAAGGTCTCCATATCATACATTGATCTCTCTGCAACACTGCCTTCTGAAATATAAAATATACATTACATAATAATGTAAAAGTATTATGATGATTCCATAACAAAAATCTACCAAAGCGGGCTAGACTAGACAGTAATAATATTAAATATCTCTGACCTCTCTCTTGTCCTGATGAAAGATGAGAATCTTTCATTTCTTCCGAGTCTGTAATTTGTAATTAATAGAAATACATTACATAGTCCATTCTTAACTAAATTATGATAATTTATAACGTTGGGGATCAATGAAGTTGTTAATTGCAATTATAAGTAATAATTTACGATGCGCTTGCCGGTAGAGGAAAACAACATACAGAGGATTTCGTGTATAACGACGATGAAGGGACCACTCTATTTTCGACGTTATATCCGTAAGTCGTTACTACGAGGGCTGCACTAAAAGTATCGGGAATGGAATATTTCCACTGCTCCTGTCATATTAAAATCTTTTTAATTGAAAACTCCTTGGTTTTAATAATCGAATACCATTTATTTATTTAAAAAAAGATTCTCAGTCTTGTCACAAGGTTTTGTCAAACTTGTTTAGTCGTTGAGAAAATGGAAGTGACTCGAGAAAATTCAAGAGCAATGATTTATGCATTTGGTGATGAAGCCCCATCCAAAACCGCAATTTATCGCTGGTTTGCTGAATTTCAACGTGGACGTGTCAAGCTCAGTGATGATCCCCGTCAAGGTCGTCCAAAAACTGCAGTCACCCAAGAAAACGTTGATGCTGTGCGTAAGCTGATTGAGGAAGATCGACATGTGACATACCGCGAAATTCAGGCAACTTTAGACATTGGCATGAGTCAAATACAAATAATCTTGCATGAACAATTAGGTGTAAAAAAGTTGTTTTTCCGATGGATACCGCATTCGCTCTGTGAAGAGCAAAAAGAGGCTCGCATTACTTGGTGCGTCAGAACTCTCGAAAGATTCCACGCAGGATCCTCAAATGCTGTATAAAACATCGTATCAGGTGACGAATCCTCGATATATGTGTACGAACTCGAAACAAAAAACCATTCACGAGTTTGGGTGTTCGAAAATGAGTTAAAGCCAACAAAAATTGTTCGTTCACGGAGTGTTGCAAAAAAAATGGTGGCAACGTTTGTCTCCAAAACCGACCATGTTACGGCTATTCCTCTTGAGGGACAAAGAACGGGTAATGCAGAATGGTACGCTAGCATTTGTTTGCCACAGGTCGTTTCCTAAACTTCGAACTCCGTAAAGAGAACTGCAACCGCCGCATCATCCTCCATCACGACAATGCGAGTTCTCACACCGCACACAGAACAAAAGAGTTTTTAGAGCAAGAAAACATAGAATTATTAGACCACCCGCCGTACAGCCCCGACCTAAGCCCTAATGATTTCTATACTTTCCCAAAACTAAAGAATAAATTGCGTGGACAGAGATTTTCATCACCTGAAGAAGCTGTGGACGCCTACAAAACAGCCATTTTGGAGACCCCAACTTCCGAATGGAATGCTTGCTTCAATTATTGGTTCCATCGTATGGAAAAATGTGTCAAATTTCGCGGAGAATACTTCGTAAAGCAATAAATACATTTTTAAATAATAATGTTGTGTCACTTCCTTGATTCCCGAAATTTTCAGTGCCGCCCTCGTAGCAAGGGTAAAGAGGATACAGAAATATACTTATGTATATAGTTTATATTAATTTATTATTGAAAATATTTGCACACATAGTTATTCACTGGTACAATTAAAAATGATACTCAGAATATCACTTTGCAACTGAACCATAAATTTAACTCCGAAACGTACACGCTTCCCTACCTACTTAGCGGACATCTATAAACAAAAGGTAAAGATCTCAACAAAAGATAAGAAATGTTTGTGAAAGAAAGAAATCTTTGGGTTTTTGGCGGCCAACTCCGGTCGCAATATCTGCATGGGATTTCTAGGAATTTGTTACAAATGATTCATTAAAAACAGTCGCTACACCCGAACTCGGCGTTACATCCAAAGTCGCTATAGCCACATGAATTTTGTACTAAAGTATGCTTTAAATTCAAGGTACTTAATTCAACGCGCTAATGGTCGCTACCCCTAATAAATTAAATCCACTGTACTTGACACGCACACATTTTTCTTCTTTCTTTCCCAATCAGCTCGTTGAAGTTCATAGCTGGACATTTGCATTACAACCATGTTGTAATGTTGGAAGGTGTAAAAAGGGAGACGTTTTACTCTTGCTATGTTTTAATTAGACTACTATTATTCTAAACCTAACACTAATATCATGGCACTACAATGTTGTTGGCTGGAAATGATTTTAAGTGTGTAGTTCTATATTTCTCTTTTTTATTTGTAGTATATAAAAACCTGGTTATTTTTTCTTTATTACGCTAATCACGAGCCAAGCTCATGAGCTAAACACTCGCTGTAAATTTTATAGTAGACGAGCAATGTGATATTGGTCTATGGTAAGAGGCGACAGAAGGAAACCGGCCAGGAAATGGGCAGCACCCTTGTCTTAATGACTACTAAAAAATAAAAACACTGCGATTGCCAATCCGCCTGCCAAGCGTGGCAACTATGACAAATATCGCTAAGTAAACTAGTGGACTTTTGATAGACTGTAATGGTAACTGAGCAACCGGAATTATATAAACGCAATTTTAATGCTAATTTACTACATAGTTGACGGTGAAGCAAATCAACTTGAGGAAACCTGCAGTGTCTGGGAAATAAATCATTAGTTTGAGAACATGTGAAGTTCGCGAACACGTGCGAGAGCAGGATAGCAGAGTCATTGCTCCATAATCTACAAATTAAAGAGGGCCTGTGTGCTCAGTATTGGGACGTGTATGAGTCGATTTTTAGACATTTTTATCTTAGTTTAGAATTTTGACAAATAGTATTCTGATCATATTAGAAAAACCTTTATAATTTTTTTTTATCGTAATTGAATTATTTCTTGAAAAGACTAATTTCAAAGCAATATTACCTTTATGCCAATAAATAGGATGTGATGCAAAAGTGATAAAAGGAACGTCCTGGCTGAAAGGATTCCATGCAGTCCTTAGAGAAAGTGGCTCACCCTTGTTCCACATCAGTCGCACTCCGCGAAGGTTACGTTCCCTGAAACAGGACCATTATTTCATTAAATTTTAGTTTTCTAGTACCATTAATTATTGTAGAATGTCAACTACCTTCACTGATAGCCTAACATGCAGTCGCAAAATGTTAACATTTGCCTCTACCACAACTGGAAGGATTTGCAAAAGCTTTGTATGGCAAATGTATTGGCGATTCTAACAAGATTTGTCTTTGATATTAGATTCTGGCCTAACTGCGGTTGCCAACAAGCCCACCAAGCGTGGCAATAATGGCACATTTTCCCCCTATTAGGTACATTATACGGTTAAATAAAAAACATTTAGAAACACCAAGGTAGACATCACCACATTCCCAGATGTTATCCATCCATCATGTATTCTTTAATTTAAATTTTTAGTAGTAGTATTATGTTTTTTGTAAGCTTACAACTTAGATATAGCTAACATTGAAAAGCAATGCTATAGCTACATTGTACCAAATGGGTTAAGGATGTTAAATAGCAAAACACTAACATTTGCATTGTCATAAGGAGAACGACAGCGCTACTAATGCACTATTCCATTTTAGTCTATTCTTATAAAACTGATGTTACAAGTTGAACTTACAGTCCACTTGATGGTAAGTGGCTACTTGCAGTCCATGAATTCCTGCAGCCGTCTTCAAACAAAGAAGTTTCTATATATAACTTTCTTTATTCGAAGTTGAAAAACGTATGTGTGTCATCTCTGAGGACTAAGTCCCACACACCAGAACACAGAAATGCAAGCGCTGGTATTTCGCGGCAGAAATACGTAAGTCCACACCATTGAGCTATTATGTACTATGTACGCTCAGATGGACTTCTGGGCAAAAGAGGAGTCCACCTAGTAAAAGTATTTAGGGTAGTTTTGGTTATTAGTGGTTTGAGAATGGATGGTTACTATATAGTTGGTATGATAAACTAACTACTTATCTAACTAAGTATTAAATCACTACCTACATGGGTCAACCAATACCCCCTGTTTGCTTATCCCATATTAAAATATTAAAGTAAAAAAAGTAAAATTACAGCCTATATACGTCCCACTGCTGGGCACAGGCCTCCCCTCATTTCTGAGAGGGTTTTTTAGGGCAAGGAATTGTTCGCCGTGCTGCCCCAATGCGTGTTGGGGAACTTCACATGTCTTCGAAATTTATTTTTCTTATTCCTCAGACATGCAGGTTTTCTCATGATGTTTTCCTTCACCGCCGTGCATGTGGTAAATCAGCACTTAAAATTGCATTTAATAATTTCATTGGTGCCGGCGGGGATCGAATCCGGGTTACTAGCTTTCTGTTATATTTACAGCGAGCGTTAACCATCTGAGCTACCACGGCTAAGATGGATAACGCTCGCTGTAAAAATATTACCTACAGAGAAATTTTATTTTACAAAACATAAAAGGATCATCACCTAAAACAAATAAGACTACAGGATATCTACCTTATGACAAAATCCAGTATATATTACCATTGTTTACATCAAATTATAATTTAATTATTACAAACAGAAACCTTTTGAGCAATAACACAGCATATCTTTAAAATATATAGATAATCAGTTAGTAAACTTATTAAGTTGCTAAGCAAGTTATAAAGAATTAAAAAGTAGATTTAGTAGAAAAAGCATAAAAAGCAACTAATGATATGTGTAAACAATTAATAGAACAAGAAAAATCAATAGAATTACAGTCAACCCATAAATTTGATGGTAAAGCTGGCATAATAAAGGCAGCACAACATATTTGTATGCATCTACAGCAACTCAAAGTACCTAGGTTCAAAATACTTGGTATCGAACAGTTTTGGCTCGCCGTTGTTGCCATTGGGACGTCTGCACAGACGATCTATGACGCAATCTTTGACGACTGTTGTCACACCCGTTGCGATGCCATTAATTCGGCTGTGGTGTGCACAAAAATTGCTACCTATATTTCATATATAACACAATTTACAAAAAATATACTTCTTCACAAAGTTTATATTCCTTTATTTGTATCTTTATAAAAAACATATATAATGATTTCTTAAATTTACGCGAACACTACACATTGAATAAAACTATTATTTACGGATTTTATCGCGTTTAATTACTTTAATTTATTTTTATTATTATCCCGACGTTTCGGGTGCTTTACAGCACCCATGGTCACGGGGGTGACTGAGATGTTTGACGTCCCAATGTCATAGTTAGTCCAGCTACCTTCAGTTTTTTTAATATTAATTTTTGGTCCGATTTACGCAAAACGAGCTTATAGTATCATGAAGTCTTGCAGTGGTATGCTTGGGTTTGGGTTTAATTTTGTTAATTATAGGATCCCAAGCAGATGGTAGCACCCAACCATCTTCTCTATTGAAATTTGGATGTTTTTTAATTTCAATAGCCTTGCGTATCATCCTTGGTAGGAATCGGTGTTCTTTTGCGAGAATTTGTGGTTTATCAAATCTAATGTAATGGTGGGGATGATCTTGAACATGTTCGCAGACTGCAGACTTCCCGGAGCGTCGGTGCTTCACATCAGCTATATGTTCCTTAGGAATATTACATCAAATGTAATATTCCTCTACAAGATGCAGGTGTGTACAAGCTAGATTGTGAATGTGGTCTCTCTACATAGGTCAAACAAAGAGATCTATAAAAAACCCCGCGTGAAGGAACATAGAGCTGATGTAAAGCACCGACGCCTCCGGGAAGTCTGCAGTCTGTGAACATGTTCAAGATCGTGCTACCATCTGCTTGCGATCCTATAATTAACAAAATTAAACCCAAACCCAAGCATACCACTGCAAGACTTCATGATACTATAAGCTCGTTTTGCGTAAATCAGACCAAAAATTAATATTAAAAAAACTGAAGGTAGCCGGACTAACTATGACATTGGGACATCAAATATCTCAGTCACCCCCGTGACCATGGGTGCTGTAAAGCACCCGAAACGTCGGGATAATAATAAAAATAAATTAAAGTAATTAAACGCGATAAAATCCGTAAATAATAGTTTTATTCAAAAACATATATTTTTCTTTATTAAGTTATTAGGTAGTAATTATTTCTAATTTTACCGCAACACTGTATATTTAAATAAAACTAATTTTTACAGAATTTATCGCTTATATTCAAACGCCGGGAATATAAAATAAGTTAATATGTGTGAAAAATCCATGAAAATTAGTTTCATTGAAATTTTTAGATAATTTTAATGGGTGTAATCAAATATATAACAACTTGATGTATGACACAATCCCAAGTCAAAACAACTCAAATTGATGTATGAAATACATTTCTTAATTTACTTACGGTACTAGTGAAGAAGGCGGATAAACCAGCTCTCCTATAACTATGGTGTCCAAATCATCTAAATAAGTCTTTTTAAAATCTAACTGCTTCATTGCTATGAAATCATACTTAATTGTCATAACCAGCCTTGATGTCAGAAGGACAATCCTTTCTTTTTCGTTGTCCCACAGGGTTATTCTGTAAAAAATATTAATTATGACAAGGGTAATAATTTATTATGACAACAGTCTATTATGAAAATACTCTTAATTATTTCTTTCTCACCTTTTCATCATCAGATAACCGACGCTTGCAAGGTTCTCCGTCGCTTTGTTGACAATATACCATGCATTCAAACCAAACAATTTGTTTCATCATTTGTAATGTGCAAAGAAAAGGAGAGGACTAATTTACTAGTATCTGTCTTTCTTTCCAATTATAATGTAAGTGAATAAGCTTTTGTCTAGCTAAGTCAATGCACTTCATCATCTTTGGTTACATCAACACTTACCATCAGGTGGGATAATATTATAGGCCATTATAAGTAAAAAAACAGCACGAAGTTATTATGGCTGCAGCTTGAATGGTCAGAATAGCATGCAAGGACCACACTCTCACGTAAAACCATGTGGTGAATGATAGAATCAGAAGACCTTTTTAAGTGGTAAGAAAGCATTCCATTTAAGACCTCAGGGGTGGATATGTATTTTGATACTTAAGACAATAGCTTTAATAATCTATGGGTCACAGCATCTACTTACTATCAAGTTGGCTTTGTATTCTTTTGTCACCCTTTCTTTAAAGAAATATTTTAAATTATGACTTGACAAGTAATCTTATATATACATACTCTGTAAGCAACCAAGACCCCAAATACTCTCCATCTTCAGGAAACAATAGAGCTGTGATACAATCTTGAATTGCATTCTCCACAACACCCTTGCGGAATGTAAAGAAATCCTTAATATTTTCTCTATTGAAAGGTATATCATATCGAGGGTAAACAGTTCTTTCCGGTTCCTCATTTGCTGCTCTTGAATTTATTGTACCCTCTGTTCTTGCATCTGTAATAATAATAAGTAATTAAATTCATTAAGAATATAAAGCTTACAAATTAACCTAAACACTAATGAGAGGTATTGTGCTCCATTTCATTTAGAATTTGCTATTCTAAGATTTTCTTTTACTTATTGAAAGAGTTAAAGCACACTAACAGTTCATATTCATTAGAGATGGGCCGAATATTAGTTTTATATTCGGTATTCGGCAGCTTTACCGAATATTCATATTCGGCCGAATATTCGGCTAAATCACCGAACATTCGTTAAAACTACTAACTACTCAAAGTGTCCACTGTATTGAAATGTATGAATTGAGTAATGCCATGTCTTCAATAATTTTACTTTTGAAAGTATTATGGTAGTATAGTATATTTATGGGTAAAATCTACTTATATAGTGTTATGTTTTCAAGGCACTGTAGATTTATTTCCAAATTTAGCAATTAGAGAGCTTGATAATTTTTTTCAGAATCATACAAAAAACATTAGGTACATTAGTACATTTCACTTTACTTTGATCGTTAGTTTCTCTAAAATAAATCCAAATAGTAGATCCTGCGCGCTTTACGGTAACAAGTTTCGACATAAATTGGTTAGGTATGAGATCCCTAATGTCTGAATACTTAAGTTTAACCGAACGCTCAGCCGAATATTCATATTCAGTGAAATCCATATTCGGACCATCTCTAATATTCATCTATAAAATAAAATAAAACACTTGACCAGTTCTCTGGTTAAGATTAGTTGATTCCTTTTTTACTCGTCATTAAAAATTCTTAATCAATATGGAGAGAAATAGATCTACAAGTAATCATTGCTTGTTTTTTAAGTAATAAAAAATACACAACAAAAAAAATTACACAATTATTAGTCATTATTATTATTACTAGTGAAGTCTTACTTATGAAAAAAAGGTATTGTCTTTGCACTGAATATCTTTCAAAGTAGCATGACCTTAGTTATTCCTTGTTTTTGCTCAAAAAGCCCAATACCTATATCCAACAGTATGGAAGGAGTTTTGAATACTTACTCCTTACTTTTGAAATAGGAGTGAGGGAAGGGGTAGGAGAGTGGGAAGCCCTTCTGCCACAGCCCTCATCTTAGGATTGCAATTTTTTATAGAATCTTTTGATAATTGGTACGAATTTGTAGCATTTTGGCACAATTTTTTTTTAAATAGCAGGGAGATATGAGCCAGGGCACCCTCTGCCATAACCCTCCCACAAAAATGCATATTTTTTATTGAAATTATACTCAAAACTAGCCTTGAGGAAATCTAAAATTCTCACACTCTGTTATTGGCCAAATCTGATTATAGGGCAATTTAGTTTTTTTTATATTCTAAACTAGTTTTTACAAAGCCTTGGCCACCCTCTCCTCACCTCGTACCACACTTACGAAAAACTCGTTTAGCCAAATAAACAAAACTAAATAAGAATTTCGACTATCGAACTGTAGTCAAAAGTCAAAGGCTAAAGCTGGGTAGTTAATCTAAAGGTGAACCCATTTCTCGAAGAATTTAAAACTTTTGAATATATGTATATATTTATGAAAATTTAAGAAATTCTTATATGTAATCAAAATGAAATTTAAGTACCTCTACCTGCAAAGGAATTCGTGGATGATGAAAGCGAATCAGCACCTGATAATACAGAAGAATTCGCATTTAGATGGTTTTTATTTTTATTGGATTCTGACGCATTATCTCGTCGATTATCTGCACTAGCATTGTCCGTGGACAACTGTAATGTGCCAACACGGAATTCTAAATCTTCATCCAACAAATCACTCATTATGTTAAAATTAGAACAATTTTTGTTTTGTTAAACCTTAAAATAATTTAATACTGTTTTCATTTATTTTTTACGCATATAACTAGAACGTAAATAATCGACCGTCTGTTAGTTACTAACGTAAACATCAATACAACGGGTGCGTTTGGCAGAAAAAAGCGCTAGCAAGCGCTTATAAGCGCTAAAATAGTTTTCGGCCAGGACACGATTGCTACTTCAGTAGCGCTGACACAATCCGCCATTTTGCTTATTTAATTTGTTTGTTTTGAAGTAGAGTTTATAAGTTGTTTTGTGCAATATTAGTTTTAAGTAATATAATGACAGGAATAAACATATACATGCTATTAAAAACTCATGATTGGTAAGTTTTTAATATGCATACTTTACAAACATATATTTAAATTAGGTTAGATTCCCCGGTTAAAACTAACATCGTGTCCTGGAGGAAAATAGCTACTTACGATTTGACAGCGCTTACCGATTACGATCGCCATTTTGCTTACAAGCGCTTGCTAGCGCTTTTTTCTGCCGAACGCACCCAATGTTGCCAGTTCCCTACACAGAACACTATTCTATATAAATAAGTACTCTGTGGTTGCCAGCTAGCCTTGTCAGAAAGTTACAATAATTCCTGTAAAGTTATTTCTAAGATAAAAGACACTAGATAGTGATACATTTATCATTGATGTATCGTAAATGATTAATTATCAATGAGTAATATCTAAATAATACTTAAAGTAACAGGAGTCTGATACTTTTTGTATCCTTAAATATTAAGTAGAGAATTCAGAAAAACGCAAGCGTTTATTTAAATTAATAAACGGAATGGAATTGAAAGCATGTAGTATGTAGTCGTATGGAAAGTTTTTGTATCAAAATGAAAGACGAATATATACCGTTCATCCATAGACCATGGTATATGGCTTCAGCAGCCCATGGACACCTGCAACCAACACCAAACAAAGAAGCTGAATAAACAACGCACGCACGAACGCACGCACGCACCCCAACACGCACGCACGCACGCACTCACGCACGCACGAACTCTCGCACGCACGCACGCGCGCACGCACGCACGCACTCACGCACGCACGCACTCACGCACGCACGCACTCACGCACGCACGCACTCACGCACGCACGCATTCCCGTACACACGCACTCCCGCACGCACGCACGCACGCACGCGCGCACGCACGCACGCACGCATACACGCACGCACGCACGCATTCACGCACGCACGCACGCACGCACGCACGCACTCCCGCACGCACGCACTCCCGCACGCACGCACTCACGCACGCACGCACTCACGCACGCACACACGCACTCACGCACGCACGCACTCACGCACGCACGCGCGCACGTATGTACGCACTCACGCACGCACGCACTCACGCACGCACGCACTCCCGCACGCACGCACGCACTCCCGCACGCACGCACTCCCGCACGCACTCCTGCACGCACGCACTCCCGCACGCACGCGCGCACGCAAGCACGCACGCACGCACGCACGCACGCAAGCACGCACGCACGCACGCACGCACGCACGCACGCACGCACGCACGCACGTGATGTACTCGCCATTGATGTTAATACCGTATCCTTTCCAGTCCAGTAGCTTGAAAACGTCTTCCAATGCAGCGATGAAGAGTTTCGGGGAAATAACGTCACACTGTCTTACACCTCTCTGCAGTTGGATAGGTTTCGAGCTCTGGTTCTGTACTCGGATAGCCATCGTAGCCCTACTGTACAAACACGTCAGCACTTCGATACCGACAGTCAACTTGGCACCGCTGAAGGGACTGTAGCACCGCCAAAATTTTGACGGAATCAAAGGCTTTCTCATAGTCCCCATACGCCAGGCAAAGTGGCAGATTGTACTCTTGGGTCTTCTGTACAATCTGCCGCAGGATATGTATGTGGTCTATGGTACTGAAACCTTTTTGGAAACCGGTTTGTTCGGGAGGCTGGAAGTCGTCTGTCTGCGTGCGAGACGATTCGTAATCACTCTCGAAAATTGCATGTAGACGCGGCTCAGAAGGGAAATCGGTCTGTAGTTCTTCAAGAGAGCGTTGTCGCCTTTCTTAAAGAATAAGAGCACCGCACTTCTGCTCCACGCCTCCGGAGTAGTGCCACCATGGAGGACGGAATTGAAGAGCTTCTGAAGGACTTCCAGTACCAGTGTTCCACCCGCTTTCAGATGCTCCGCTGTAATTCCATCCTTGCCTGGGGCCCTGCCGTTTTTAAGTTGCTGGAGAGCCATTCTAATCTCGCTCAGACTGATGTCCAGGATGTCATCGGAATAGTGTCGGATAAGACCTGTTCTTGGATCGTTACTCACACTTGCGTGTGGCTTGATTCTGAGTATAAGGTACGCAACCCTCGTCGATACACTCCCAATCTTTAAAACGTTGTTAACGAGAGACTTGAGGACGATAATTGGGACAGATGGTCGCCCTCCCGGTGATAGAACAAGTTGCCGGATTCGAGAATCACCGTGTCCTCCCCCTCTCTTCGGACCTCATAATATTCCAGCGCAATTTGTCTATCTCTTCTTCCAGCTTCAGGATCTTCTCGTCAGTCCTCAGGGTGCGTGCGTTAAATGTTGCCAGGTCGAGTCATCGTAGGTGGCAACCGAACCTCCACTGGAGATTCTGCCCATCCCCTGCCTCGCCGTTACCATGGTCGCCACCGTAGCCAGGACTAGCGGGGCCGCCGGGGACTGGGGGCCGTCTATTTGTGTAATTATTCATGGGAGGTGTATTGCCATAGTTGCCACGTTTGGCAAGCAGGTTGGCAACCGCAGTTTTTTGTCGTACAGTTGCTGTTATCAGGAAGATGGTGCTGCCCATCTCCTGCCTGTTTCCCTCTGTCACCTTTTACGGCACCCACGGGAAGATATGGGGTAGTGGATATTCTTAACCGCCACTACACGGCACAAACAGAAACAGAAACGGATGCGGAAACAAAAATAATACTTATTTAAAAAAATTACAAATAAAACTTAACATTAAAAATTAAGTAGCGGTAAGTTATATTTTATGAAAAGTAGTTCGGCCACTTTTACACTTAACAATCTGTTCCAGTGTTTTTCATATATAAGTCCAGCTCCTAAAAATAATAATTATTGCTATAGCAATTATTGCTCACTGGTGATGCTGAGTACCACCTATACACCAAAGCCAAATAGGCACTGAAATTTGGGCAAACCCTTCAAAGAGCCACATTTAGGTTTAGCGAGTAGTTAATTTAGTAAAGACATAGCACGAAAGTACGACGTAACTATACTTTGAATCCAAAATACTCATTAAAGTTTCTTTAAAAATAATTATTTCTTACCGTGACCATGGGTACTGGAAAGCACCCGAAACGTCGGGTATTAAAAATAACATAAATAAACGCGATAAAATCCCTAAAAGTACTTTTAATCAATAAAAATAATTATTTTACACTTCAAGTAAAAAATAAATAATATAAACTTCACGCAAACATAACTGCTACCTAATTAATTTGCAAATCTAAGTTATAACAAAGGCATATATTAAAAACTATTTTTAACTGGAGAAACCACGTTTTAACTAAAACCTGGTTTTATCTATAACAATTTATACGCTTTATAAATAAATAGGTATGCAATTCCTTGACTGACCATTTGTTTTTTAGTTTGCGATGAAAGTTTTACAGTTTCAACTAACTTCTCAAACTTCGGCGTTTAAGATGGCTCTTTAAAGTGGTAGTTGTGCAGCCTTTTCGCGAATATATTTTGTCACAATTTATCTCAAAATAATAGTTCCAAACAGGACTTGTTTTTGGCTTCATGATTGCAATTAAATTACACACACGACTTAAATTTCTAGTAAACTAAAAATACAATAAACCAATTTATGTGGATGCGTCGCTGAGTTCCGTTCAAAATTCCGTTATAAAACTTGCGGAAACAGAAGCAGAAACGGATGTTAAAAACCACGCAGAACTTCCGCGGTTGCGGAAATAAAAAACAGAGTTCTGTTGCATCACTAATATATACTCTCTCGACTTCGTAATCACAACAGCGTAGAGGTTAGGAGAGAAACACTGTTAGGATTCATTACTGTAATTATTTTTTTATTATTTATTATGTACAAAAAATCTATATACACTTGTGGCCGTGGAAGGAAAAAGGGAGATCTCTCGCCGGGCAAGGTGTTCTGCCCGGGGAGTGGCCAACACTCCATGTGATAGTTCGGAGATGTTCTCTATATATACTGTTTATGATTCGGAATTTTGATAGCGTTCGTAACCATGTCTGAAACTCCTTTATTTTATTACTGCAATAACCGACATCAATTTGTGATTTTTGTAAAATATTATACAAGCAGTCGGTTTTTTCAAATACTCGGTGAAAAATTGAAAGAAAAAAAAATTAAATTAAATGAACGCAATGGTTTTCAAAATTCTTGGCGGCAAAGATCGTATCACCGTCCCAGTTCTGCGGATTTTCGCACATATCCGAATACAAATTAATTAGATTATCTAGTTGTTCGAATACTGTATACACAATTCGTGACGTATATACGTCCAACGAGTTGCGGCGGTATTAGGCAACTTTTTGCGTCAATATGCATCACAAAAAGACGACCGTTTTGTGCTGTTATTAAAAAAAATTAAACAAAGCCCGAAGGGCTTAAAAGTGCTGACTTCCCCAGATAACAAGATTTAGATAAAACTGATGCCATAGACATCGAACTATATTACTAACGTAAGTAATAATACCTCAATGGTACTAGAGGGTAAAGTTATGTCCGTCATAGTTTTAATATAATAATAGCGCCATCTACTTACTGATAAATAAACTAATAATAAGTACATAACTGGTCAAATTAAACACAATTCTATTAAATATGTACTTAAATATTGTTGCAGTATCAAAAATTGTCAGACCGGTATAGACCTGTGACCACTGTCTGCATGTTTTATCATAATTCTCAATTTTAGCAAAATTACTAACAAAACTGT